CACACACACACACACACACACACACACACACACACACACACACAGCCTTGAGTCGCTGATGTACAGTGGATGTCTTGAAGGCCAGCTATGGCTGGCGGCATACCTCCAGGATATGGCGCCAGGTGGGTCGAACCTCACCTCTCTCCTCCTCTATCCTCTACTGCACTGCTCCCTAGTCCTCGAATGCTGCTGCTTCACCTCACCAGGGTTGCTCCAAGGAGGGCAGTCTGATGGCACGCAAACTATTTATGGACTACTGGGCCTGCCTCTCTTGAATTCCCATGGACCGGCCTTGACTCTGGGCCGTCTGGTCTGCTCAAGCATCCGGCGGTTCCGATGAGAGGCTCCATGAAAATCCCAGTCTGAACCTGTGGCCTGCGACTCGGGCTGTGATCCAGGCCCAACCAATCAGAAGCAGGGCCTGCAGGAAGAAAACGGCCTGGCACAAAATCGGATCCAGGCCCAGCCTAGAAAACGAGCTGGGCCAGTGCAAAGTGATCCTGCCTGGGAACAGACAAAATGCCCCCTCGTCTGGGTTCAGAACAGACAAAGTGCCCACACGCCTGCCCAGGACCGAAGCAAAACAGACCGAAGTGAGAACATACAGAAACACGTCTCTGGAATCAGAACAGACAAAATGCTACACACGCCTGCTTGAAATCCAAAGCAATGCAACTGAACTGAGAACAGACAACACACACACACACACACACACACACACTCACGGCTGCACCCAGAAAACAGACAAAGTACTCTCTCGCCACCATGAATACCCACGAGCTAAAGCCCTCGAACTGACTGAAGGGCATTGGCAGATCTATCTAGGCGGCTACCTCTATCACATGTCCGGGATTATAGCCCGGTGTGTGAGGCCCTAGGCATGCCACAGCTGCCTGTGTTTGACTGGCACTCTGTGTGGTAAGACTTGAATTCACACCGTCATCCATTGCCATTCTGCAACAAATATCCAAAAAATTGCGGCAAATTTCTTTCAGAGTAACATGTCCCTTCACAGCTACTAGTCCGTGCTGTGCACCTCTACTATACTTTCTGCCAGTAAGCTGGTTGTTCTATATAGGATAGGCAGGCATTTGTAGATACCGTCGTATGCCTTAACACTCCTGTGTGGATCCCTGCATGGTGTGTGGATCCCTGCATGTCCCCATACCGCAGTGCTTGATCCAGTGCTTACACTACTTTTGCTGCTCTTCTATTCCATTTGCCTTGCATTAATGCGGCGGCCTGTTCACATGCATGGCTCCAGTACAGTTTTTGCCTCACCTTCACTGCATCCCTTTGCCCCTTGGTACCTCTTATGCTGTCCTTGGGCAGTGGCCGTTGGCGCAGCTCCTTCACCGCTCGCCCAATCCTGTTCGTCTTTACACTTCGACATCCCCTGCTGTTTTGAAACCTTGTGGCACTTCTCTCTGCTCCTGCTCCTGTGGCAATCGCATCATGTGGAAGAAAAGGGGAAAAAAGATCACAGGAAACAAGAAATAAGGTGAGGAAGTGGGGAGAACGAGGGGAAGGACGAGTGTATTGAGTAGCAAGGGGAAGATAAGAAGAATGAAGAGAACAGGGAGACAAGAACCATCTTTGACACTTTCCTGCTCATCCCTTGGCCAAGTTTTCATGGGCCTGTTGTTGTGGATGTTACCTTTGTGTCCAGAGGAACCATGTAGTTTGGTGAGGATGTTCATGGGTGTTGAAACACTGATGTCTGCTGTTTGCTGACTATGATTCAGGTCCTTTCCCGCGCTTTCCGTAATCGGTTTATGGAGTTGCATATTGATGACATTCCAGACGAAGAGCTTGTTGTCATATTGGAGAAGCGTTGTCTGATTCCTCCAAGGTACTTAGTCGACCGTAATCCATGATCTGAAGATTACTGTAATCCATGATCTGAAGATTACTGTCGAGCTCTTGATCCACTACTAACATGCTTTAACTCTGGGGAAAAGGAAGTGGGATGTGTTTCCCACGGTCAAGGGGGATGGTGAAGAGCAGGATGGATATGATAAGGGAAAGGTGCGGGGGAGGGGGAGGACATTGTGAAAATATGGATGTGGTGATAGGGTAAGAAGAGGGGAAAGAATATGAAGACAGTTGAGGCTGTTGGTGAGGAGGAGGGAAAGATGAGGAGGGCAAGGAGGCAAAGTTGGATTATGAGAAGCAGCAGGCAGTGTCAGATGACAACATTGAGGATAGGAGAAGCTCCACAAGGACAAGAACAATAGAGTAAGAAGAGTGAAAATAATATGAGGACAGTTGACTAGAGGATAAAGTGGGCTGTTGGTGAGGAGGAGAGATAGAGATGAGGAGGAGAGAAAGATGAGGAGGGAAAGGAGGCGAAGTTGTATTATGAGAATCAGCAGGCAGTGTTGGATGACAACATTGAGGGTAGGAGGAGGTCCAGGAGGACAAGAAGGATAAAAGGGGGAAATTAACTACAATTATGAAGATGACTGCGTCCAGTACTTGGTGGAGGCATCAGGTGTCAACATTCGTCATGACAATCAGCATGAAAGGCCTTCCACGATTCAGACCCCAAATTCGGATCTCAGGGTCAGATGCCAGGTCAAGAAAAGGCCGAGTTCATCAAACTCAGAAAAGTCACAGTCGGGTACCTCAGCAGTCTGGTCCAACAGGCACCCAGCAAACAGTCACATATCAGGGACAAGAGTCACGTTTCATAATAAAATGTCATTCAGAAGAGTCACATCCCACGATTTAAAAGGCAGATTCACAAGCAACAGTCATGTCTCGAAGGCAGGAGTCACGTTTCATAATGAAAAGTCATATTGCAGAGTCACATCCCACAAGTAAAAGGGCAGTTCCACGGCCAAAAGTCGTGCTCCAGAGGCAGGCGTCACAGTCTGCAGTTCAAGTCATGTTCACAAATGAAAAGTCACGACTCGAAAGGCCCAAGCAGCAGCAGTCCAAACGAAATTCGGGAAGGTTCCAGGCCTTGACATTCAGAAGCAGACAGGCCGTGGGGATGTGGTACCGGAACCAGTCAGGACCCAAGAAACAGAGGCTGGCACGAGTTTGAAGTGCAGACCAAGACTACGAAAGGACTGGCCAGCCTCACATTCGGGGAGATTGCTCATTCGCAAGAAGTGTGGAAGTGCTGGTGCACTTGTGCGCTGATGTGAGGGGCAGAGCGCTGAAGCCAGAGTGCTGCGCTGAGAGAGAGAGAGAGAGAGAGAGAGAGAGAGAG